AGCTTCAGCATTGAGCCAATGGTTTCACATGTTTTATACGGTGGCATTTCCATGGTTGACACAACGCATTGATTTTTATAGGTTGGCACCATATGGTGCAACTGCTGGATGGTGCGTCACCTGCACATGCCATTTGGAGGTATGAAGATGTCTGGCGTTGGGCGGGAAGGAACGGACGCTTCCAAGGAGTTCTATACAGAAGTGAAATCCGTCTGTCTAGACTACAGTTGAGGCATGGTGGCTGGCTAAGAATGCAGCACGGCAATAAAAAATTCAGGCTGGACACGTCGGGACATACGAATTAGTCATGGCATGAGCAATCTATGTAAAGCTTCACACAGTCACGTTTTCGTGATTAAAGCCTAATCGCATGTAACCCAACCAACGGAACGAGCATTGTAGTCGAACATGAACGAAGTGAGTCTACCTAGTACAACTGGCGGAAAGCTTTGCCCAATAGAACAATTAAGTGATTTACAAGAGCGTTAGAGAAGCATTGAGATGATAGAGAAATAAGTTAATCAGAGATTTGAGCCAGTTGGTTGGTTTCATCTAGTCGCGCCGTTTTCGTGATCGATGGAAAAACCTATGAGCTCGTTTCTTTGGCGTTTCGAACTTACCTGGTTATTTGCTGGGGCTCTTACAAAATTGGAGACTGCACGTTTGTTGAACCGCACACTCGAGTCCATACTCTGCTGAATTTCGCTCCAAGTTCTGGTTTCCTCTACGATTTCGTAAATGTTTCCCAAATTGAGAAATAGAGGAGTCAACCACAATGTTGAACTCTGGAGTGTGGCACACTATATCGCCGATACTACTCTCGAGCCATGACGTTGCCTACTTATCAAAGCTCTTGATTAGGAATGAGTCTCGTGTCTCGGCAGAAGGCAGAACGAGTGCCCCTGCATCGATAATGTCAGGGTTTCGCAATTTCACTGTACTTCTACAATGTCGAAATGTATCACGCTTGAACTACTGTTTGCACATCTGCCATGGCAACCAGAGAAGCTGTTATATACAAGTTGGCGTCAGTTTTACATATTTGTAGCGTTTTCTGCCGGTTAAAAGTAATCGCAACGTTCGTTTCATAAAGATTGTGGACATTCGCTTGAAATAAAACGTCGAATTTCTGAGCTGCGTTTGAAAAGGCTGCATTGGCATTGTATATACACCCCCCCTGGTGGTCTAGTGGTCAAAGTGCTGGATTCCACTGTGGCGTCTCTCATAATCATATCGTGGTTTTGGAACGCTAAACCCCACATATCAATCAATCAAATCAAACTGACACATTGATCATAAAACTGTATACAAAGGCGAACATCCATCAAACAAAGGCCTTAACGGAACGCGTCAATAGTTCTCTCGTCAGATGTGGTTTGAATGGGTGTTGATCGTAAATTGTTGAGGCACCCTGAGCTTAATCAACACATCAAAAACAACCCATGTCATTCGAGCAGGTATTCGGTAGAATAGTGACCACGGACATTGGATGCTTTGTTGCCATTAGATGAAAGTAATCCATCCGACTCAGATTATTCCTTAGCACAAAGACGACACCATACAGGACACGCCGCCAGCCACGCGCTGACTCCAATCGGTACATAGTGAAGCTCGTAATCAGAGCGGCGACAAGCAGTAGATATGGGCACCAGTGCGACGCCGCGGACTGCCTGGAAAGCTTCTTTGCCGACACTTGAGCCTTTACGAGCCATACTTCTTCGCGTCTTTTACGAAGTGAAATCTGCAGGACATGAAAAAACAAGGTGCCGCACTTCTGCGGATGTTGTAGACGTAGTCCGCATGAAGCGATGGCCCCTTCAAGATGATTATGGGCCTCTTGCTTATAATCGCCTTGAAGGCGGAGAAGGTTGCAATCTTGCCAGCGGTTCCACATCAATGACTGCTTGTTTTGCTCGCTGCGAGATGACACGAAAAGAGACTGTACATGGTTGCTCTCCGACTTGAACACGCTGCCAGCAGCCGCCGGAGCGCGCACGCCACGCTTTCCCGTGTTCCCTTTCCTGAAAATTAACAGTGTATGTCAGCACCCCGCATTCTACCTAAGTGAACCAGAAAACTACAACATTAGCTATGCGCACCAATGGTCAACGCGTGGACGACATTTGGGCTGTTGAAACGAAATAAAAAAATGTTTTTGCGTATACCTCACCAGATTTTAATTGGCTCTGTTTATCCTCTAGTAAGATGGATCGGTCACTTGCCTAAATGGTGCACTCAAAACTGAATTGAGCCTGCATAATTAAATACAGTGAATAGTGACCCGATCCTAGCGTCATTGCGTAATGTGATTTGACATGAGTTTCAGTAATTTCTGTAAGGTGAGTATTCTATCCTGATAATTCACTTTGAGAGTTTCTTATTCTCGACCTTATGTAAACCAAGTTACCTGGTCAAGTATGTGAAACAACGATACCTTTAACAATTATTCAGTTGCGGAACGCTGAGCGTGAGGTATGACTATTCCATGCAGTAAGAAGGCCAATATTCAGTACAAACTGATCGATATTGAAAGTTCTACACACTGACGACGCTATCCCCTTCGTTTGTATTCCTATGCATTCGTACAAACGAGTAAACACATACGTGTCGCGGCTCAGGGCAATACTCCAGTGGTCGTCCAACGTGCTTCATTACACGGTCCGCTCTGGATGTAGTGGCGGTGTGGAGGTGGTAATTGTCCCGTGGAACCTGACATAATCTATGACCTGGCGCAGCTAAAGAAGAAAGGCCGACACATCGTAAACGATCGAGATGTTCTTCAATTTAACAAAGTGGTTCCTATTCGGTGACGAGTGTTTATATCTAACACACCACTTTCTTGAACCTCGAAGCATACAGTGATGTGGCTTCCACCCGATTCTACGAAAGAAAGGGGAACTACGTGTAAAAATGTATGGGGAGATGTGGTACCATGGCTGTGCCCGGTTTCAGTTTAATTAAGAGACGTCATTTCGAAGAGCTTATGAACCCCAGACATACAGTTGTATGGATATGTTACTAATACCGACCATACACTTACGTCAGTGCACGTGTGCGCGGCACCTATTGTTTTTTTCTGTTTTTTTTTTTTTTAAATCGGGACAGCGGTATCCCAACTTTGCGCTCGGTTATGTGGAGGTTCATGTTTCGAAAGGCTTGCGTCTCCTTTCCTTAAATTTTCGCACCACTTACACGCTGCGGTGCTGAGCCGTGCAATCTGATTGGTTGCCGAAATAAGCACCTATACTAATCTCACACCATTATCTATGCTCTGAAAAAGCTGAGCCAGATTTAGCTGAGCCAGAGCGATGTGTGAACGAACACACACTCTGAAATACGCGACGACACACCGAAGTGTCGTTTTAGCGACAAAATTCAAAAGGCGAGTTTTGCCTTCAAGTTAGCTGCTTCTCGCTACCAAATGATTTAGCATACTTAGAGACCTTTTACATTAAGCTCTAACTGTCCTAATGTGATGCTTCTCGCCTCCTGGTGCGCGCACGTCTTTCTCCAGGCGTGATCAACTATGTAATCAGCCTCGGCGAGATCGTCAGTGATGCACTGGTAAGCGATCTGAACACCAAGGCCACCTTCTTCTCTGGCAGCTCCAGGGTGGGCATTACCATCGCTCTAATGACTGAGCTACACAACAAAAAGCTCGCCCTGGAGGTCAGTACGCGGCACCCTCCTTCTTTATACTCTGTTCATCTTTTTTCTTTCACTCAAGGAAGGAGCATCGTGGAGCAAAAGCTGTGGTAAGAGTCAGACAGTCTGCATAGACTCCTGCGTAACAATATGATGCATCGTAATTGAGGAATCAGGTGCGCACGCTCGCAAGAGTCCACTGTCGTCCACTGCCAAGGGAGACAACTTGTTAGTGGTGTCGTCAGGGTTATGCCGGGTCGATGTCCCGGCATATATGTGTGCTGTATGCACGTATTAATAAATTGTAGTAACATAGGGATGGTGGTGGGTAGGGGGTATACACCATAATTTCTACCTCCCCCTTCCCCTCTTAGCTACGACTGCGTTACTCAACGCGGTGACTGAGCTGCTTCTTTATTGTGTGCTTATTTACATAGTGTTCGAGCTCACTGCCATAGTTCTCAATAAACGGAAAGCTGGTTTTATCTCAATGATTTTCTCCAATCTCCCCAAACCTAACCTTTTGGTTAAGAACCAAAGAAGTTAGGTTAGTATCAGAAGAAGTTAGTATCATCTCTTAACCAAAGTTCCTTGGTTAAGAGATGATACGCCCCTGTTGCAGTTTCAAGCAACATGTCATATTTTCTGTCCCAGTTCACCATCATTATGACAGTGTCATTAAGATAATCACTTGCCAAGAGGCTACAGTGTGGGATGACTTGTATTCTCTCATGCTCATTTTGCGCGTGTGCCCTTGTTACAAATATATGTCCTTTATTCTGCGCAGATGGGCGGAAAGAATGCGCCATTTTGTTTGAGGACGCTAATTTCATGGATTTTATTGGTCAGCTGTCAAAAGAAGTTGCTCTTTACGCCACTTTATCGTCTTCACTGATGTCAACATCGTCAAGCATGCGACCTGTAGCGCTATTATGCTAACGCAAGTGTAATTCTGCAACGTGCAACGGCCGACGACGGTTCACATGCCGTGGTGCAGTGCAGTCGTAGCGCCCTGAAGAAAGAGCAGCAGATACGTTGCCACACGAACCCGACGTATCCTCTGCTCTAACAATATTATCTCTTCCGCGCCTAAATCAAAAGTGTAAAGCTTTCTGACCCACAGTTTCCGGTGTGCGATCGCCACACTTTCGCTCGATAAGCCAACTCTCGGTGCCACAGCGCTGCTTGACCTATGTGTTCTGAGTAGATCTGGGAAACTCTTTCGGAGGCTCAGTGCAACAGCGTTTTCCCTCGAGCTTCACGCCAAGGCAGTTGCTTAATTGTGCCATCAGCGTAATGTTCGCCGACACCGGGCCGTAAAAAGGGCTGCGAGCGACGTAGGACCTCACGCGAGACGCGTAAAATTGGTCCGCAGATAAGATTACGGCTGGGGGACCGACGAAGCAATACCGTAGCGATCCCTGCTTTTCTCGCCACCACGGGAGCAGGACTGCCGGTCCTCAGGTAAGTTCAGCGCACCGACACTTCCTATTTCGTGTTCCCTCTTGCATGCTCGCGTCCCGAAAAGCTTCCTGTACCCCTTGTGGAGGGTCTCTCGGTGAATTCCCATGCTGCCATCATCAGTAGCTATTTCGTCTGGCCACAACTAAGCAAGGCGCACTCGAAAGAAAAAAAAAGTAAAGGAACGTGAACACGCGTTTTGTGGGCCCATGGATCAAGATGATTGGGTGCGCTGTGTTGTCGCGTTGCATCCAACACTTCAGGTCCATGCGTTAATTCCAGCTTTCTGCTGTACAACCCTCTTCATTTTACACACACTGATATTTTTATTTTTTAAAAAAACGTCCAAATGCCCTCTTGACCATGGTATTTCACGAGGAAGCGAGGCAAGAATTGGTTACAGCTCATGCATATCAAAAATGTAAACAAAATCACAACACAGAGTGAAACATAATATGCAAAATTCTTTTTTCAAAAAACTTACAAACGCGAAAAGCTGATGAAATTACAAGAACGAACGTCGCAAGGAACAAAAAATTATATACCAAGATGCGTGAATAAGATATTGTAATTTGCTTATAGTGTGTTTCTGTAACAACGTCTGAGGGTAATGCGACTCATTCGGCTGTTGTGTGCGGCAGGAACTAATGTGCATGCGTTTAGAAGCTATGCAGTTGATTCGCTTGACTTTAAAAGTATGATCACGACGTGGGTTCAAGATGGTATTCTAATTTTGGACGGAGTAACGTGAGCTAGTTTTTAACATGCACTGCGACCTCTTTCAAATTATGTTAGAGGATTTCGAGAGTGCAATATCGGCGATGGCATATGGGAAGCCGTAGCTGTAGCATTTTTTTATTATTATTTCTGTGGCTTTAGTGTTTTCTGATAGCCCCGCCGTGGTGGTCAGTGGCTATGGTACTCGGCTGCTGACCCGCAGGTCGCGGGTTCGAATCCCGGCTACGGCGGCTGCATTTCTGATGGAGGCGGAAATGTTGTAGGCCCGTGTGCTCAGATTTGTGTGCACGTTAAAGAACCCCAGGTGGCCGAAATTTCCGGAGCCCTCCACTACGGCGTCTCTCATAATCATATAGTGGTTTTGGGACGTTAAACCCCACAAATCAATCAATCAGTGTTTTCTGATAGGTCACTGAAGTATCTGCAGGGTAATGCACAGCTATTTCAGTGACTCTCTTAAATACCCAATAAATATGCTGCAGTCTAGAATAGCACTCAGGCTTCTTCGATTGTAAGTCCGTGTGCTCAGATTTGGGTGATCGTTAAAGAACCCTAGGTGGTCGAAATTTTCCGGAGCCCTCCACTACGGCGTCTCTAATAATCGCATGGTGGTTTTGAGACGTTAAATCCCACGTATCAATCAATCAATGGGCTTCTTCGACGGTGTTATCCTGTCGTCAAAGGGGAAAATTTGAAACTTGAAACACTCGTAGTCGTTTGCTGCACATTGCCTATATCCTGCGCACGACAGAATCGATATGCTCAGAAGATAATCATGAACTGCAACACACGCGAGGTCGTATTTGCGTATAGTAATTCTGATTAGTTTCCTCCTCTTATCATTTTGTGCTTGCTTTTTTCTGTGTGTCTTTTTCAACGATGCTATGATAATGATGAGATAGCTGGCTCTAACGCAGCCTACCTTCCAGTGTTTTGCATGCGTAAATGAAAAAAAAAAAAAATTGGAGCATGTCCGCTACGGTAGACCAGTGGCAACGGTGCTCGGCTGCTCACCTTAAAGTCGCGGATTCGATCCCAGCCACGGTGGTATAGCCTTTCGGTAGAGGCGAAATAGTAAAGGACCGTGTACTTTTCGATGTCAGCGCACGCTAAATATCACCAGATTGTCGATACTTCCGGAACATGCACTACGGCGTTCCTCATTATCGTGGTTCTGGGACGCGAAACCCCAGACGTTATTATAGTTATTATTCGCATATTGAACGACAAAGCACCACATGTAGGGTGCTGTCTTGTATGTGAACAAGAAAAGCGCAAACAAGAACTCTGAAGCGCGATGCAGCAATAAAATGCGATAACGACTTTGATGAAATGGATATTAGGACTTCGATTGATATGTGGGGTTTAACGTCCCAAAACGCCTACATGATTATGAGAGACACCGTAGTGGAGGGCTCCGGATATTTCGACCGCCTGGGGTTCTTTAACGTGCACCCAAATCTGAGCACAGGGGCCTACAGCATTTTCGCCTCTATCGATATTAGGACTTCAAGATCTACACTAATTTGATTCGTGACCTCGACCGAAGTTCTAAGCTAACATAGTAATATGAATGAGCCGTACGTACTACCAACATTCTTTCAGCGTACTTCGTGACACCAGAAGCCTTCGATTCGCCAACTTAGCTATTATTAGCGCGGCACATAAAAAAAAGAAAAAAAAGGAAAGCCGACACAGACGTCAAGTAAGTTTCAGAGCCTACCTTTCCTGATGTCTGTGTCGTCTTTTCCTCTTTTTTTTCCCTTTTTATCGGTGCTGCGTTAATACAAGCTAGGTTCACGAATAACCAACTTGCCCGAACCACAACACTTCTGAACAACGATTAGGGTACATGTTCTCGAGTTGCCAACATCTGCGAGGGAGCGCATAATATCCCACCATGCTTTGCCAGGCTGTTGCATGCAAGTTCGTTCTGCCTTGTCTTTCTTGTCTATCGTGCATGATCGACTTTTTTTTTTTCACTTCGTCTATCGCGTTTACGACTGCCCAAGTGGAGATAACGGCGTGTCACCGAAAAGTGCGATCCTGATAAGCTGCACGCTTAGTACTGATATTCTGGACGTTTCTTCTATATAAATAAATAGTGAGGTAGAGATAGCGCCTTTAGGAAGGGCGCCGAAGACCAGAAAGAGATCTTGGAACTCTTAGTGGTCTATTAACCCGTTTAGCTTAGAGTTGAGTTGAAGTTGAGTTCTGGGTTGTACTTTGCCTCAATAGTACGTGCGCGGAGCCAATCACGTTGTAATTGAGTTCGGAAGCACCGGCCGTGATAGGCCAGCAGATAACGTGCCGCACTGCTGCGAGCGACGACGCGGGTTCCATCTCCGGCGACCGCATTTCGACGGAGGCGTAGTGCAAGAGCACTCGGGTACTGAGATACTGTTGCACGTTAGCGAGGTGGACGTTAAAATTACTCCAGGGTCCCCCGTCAAGATGGGCTTCATTTTCATACATTGATTTGCACAATTGAAGTTCCATACTTGTAACGGTGTTCAAAAGTTGTCCACCTCTTCACTGCAGCTTGACAATTACTTCGTAAGAGAAGTACGGTCACAAGTTCAATATATCGTGGCTATTTGACAAGGAGGAATAAAAAAAAATGATCGACACGGTCACGGGGAGTTTTATGTCTGAATTCGGCGCAGTGCAGTCAATGTCTATAACGTAACCAATGCCACCAAAAGCAAACACGAGACGCATGGTTACTCCTTTTAGAATCAACTAACAGCCCCTTGTTATGATGACCACAATTAACACTTCTCGTCCATGACTTTAACATTCTTCAACCAGGCTTAACATTCTTCAACCATGGCAACAACTGTGCGCCCCGTTGCTGAACGGCGCGCGGCCGATCGCAGATGCCAGGGCTCGACGTACCATGCAGTACCAGATCAAGCCTGTAGGTCAGCCTGATGTCTTTAATAAATAATTTGTGCGTACAGCTCCGAACACACTCTCTCTTCTAAACGACTTTATAGTGCTTCGGGTCATTAGCTCAGATGCGAAGTTTTTTGTTTTAATTTTCTTGAACGCCAGAGGTGTCCACGACACCCACCTTCGAACAAGAAAAAAATAATAAAGAAACGCCTTTTTACATTATGCCCAGTGACAGCAACCCCATCTGATTTTTGGTATGCCTCACTGCATACTGGTTCTTTGTTGTGTCAGAGCTGGCTCATGTTGTCCCTTCTTCGTGAGATGGCTGTAAATATTTTGTTGCAATTATCTACGACATGCGCTGTCTCTAGGCTTGCATATTTTAGAAGCCAGTATAGCTAGAAACAGCTAGCATGCCCGACGAAGAAACCATTCTCCAACCTATTCGCGGTAAATATCTCGAGTGCTGTTGTATTTGTTGTATGTATTGTTTCGATTTAAAACTATATAGTCAATTACTATGTGTACCTCCCCTACGTAATGCCTTACGGCGATGTAGGTGAAATGTTAATAAATAAATAAAATAAATAAAGTAAGCTTATCCAGTTACGTGAAGGCATATGCAAAGCACTCGGATGTGGCAAATTTCTCCCCTGCAGTAAAAAAATGCAGTCACAATATCTTCAGTCCCTAATAGCGCAGAACCACGCCAAGCACCTAGATTTGAATAAATGTGGGCGGCCAGCCAACGCATTGCTCGAAGCTCGCATTTCGATGCATCTAGAGCAACCCAAAATCAGGACGATCGCCTCTCTCAGAAGCTCTGCCGACAAAATACGGCAACATTGACTTTTCTAACTTTTTCATACATAAACAAAGATACAGGCACGAAAAAAGGCGGGTAGAGCTGAGATGGCCCAGCCCGCTGACCGATGGCCCCGCCGAGTATATCAGCATGTATATCTCGCAGTCCTCGCCTTCCTCTGCGTGCACCCGTTAACAACGGGGCATTTCTCGCGAAGTCGCTATATACCAGCGGACGTGTGGAACAGCCATACTTGAGCTGAATAATCGTGGGTGCAAGGCAATGCTGCCGCGGTTCGTGGCCACGAATGGCCACGCGCGCGAATTGTCGCACAGCCCGGCTCGGGCCAACAAGACACCGCCTGTGCGCAGGATGCTTATTCTGGAGAACTTCATCAACGGCAAGTTCGAGTCAGCGGCGGAGACCATCGACAATGTGGACCCGTCCACGGGAGTCGTCTACTCGCGCCTGCCCAACAGCGGATCGCGCGAGGTCGACAAGGCAGTGCACGCTGCCACGCAGGCCTTTCCCACGTGAGTGTCCCACTTAAACTTCCATATCTGTAATTTAACGGCATAATTTTTGATGGAGGTGTCATGTTAGAGGGCAGTACATGTACTACTTTCTTCGCCAGGAGAAAAAAAAAAAAAGACTGCGTGGAACGCCAGTTGTGAGCGCGATTGACTCCCAAGGTAGAGCACAAGGTTTGCCCTAGGCCGGCAAAAACTGTGGAGCTCTCTAAGGGTCAATCATGAAATACATTGTGCCCTTATAGGGCTCACCTAAGTTATCCTCCACCGGGCTCACTAGGGCTAAAACTCAAATAGTGTTCACCCGGACTCCCTCAGACTCACATTCACGGCATTGTCTGAGTCTGTGGGAGTCTAATCATGAGCTCGTTAGCGTCTAATTAACTTTTTTTTTGCTCATGTTCACGTCAATGCACCTTAACGCTAATATCCCGCACAATCGGTGCAGACGCATTTTGATCTCCTGCCTTCACATACGAGACAACAGTGGTTGCAATCAATTAAGGACATTTTTTATCGAACTATAGATAACTCGCACAAGATATTTTTATCAAGAAGTTCTGTGAAAGTGTTTGCATAGGGCATAAAGGTCAAGGCGCCTCCCTCCCACCCACATCCCTTCCTCTGTAACTGGCGCATCCAATGAATGATTATCTACCTGGCGTATGAACGCTCGTGCGTTGAAGTATGTGTGAGTAGACGCGAGTATAAAAGTGAGCCGACATAAGGCTTTAGTGATGCTGAAGTTGAGTAAATAAAACTTCCATAAGTCAGCAAAAAAAAAACGTGGAAATCACTCAATGAACATATATAGTACTGAGGGCTCAGGCTCACAAAAGTATTATTCTCCCATACTCACTCACACTCAGAGTGGATTTGCCGATTTACGATCAATACATTTGCTTTATTAGTCTGTGTTCCTAATTATCGCTACTCTATAGTAATAGCTGTACGCCTCTCTTTCTTGGTGTGGAACGCAGGTGGTCGACCAAGTCTCCGGCAGAGCGCTCCAAGTTCCTCAACCGCATCGCCGACCTGATCGAGAGCCGAATGGACGAGTTTGCGCAGGCCGAGTCCCGAGACCAAGGCAAACCCATTTGGCTGGCGCGAACCGTGGACATCCCTCGTGCGGTGCACAACTTCCGACACTTCGCCACCACTGTCCAGTGCGACCGGGAGATGTACGTCAGCATCGCGCATGCTTTCTCTGTCAACCTCATAACATCGACATGTATAGGCTATTAGAACGAAAGTAATATTTTCCGTAAACTACACCGGGTTATTGGTTGGCTCGTTTTACCGCCCAGTACGTCGGGCCGATCTCCTAGTTAGATGGTGCAACCAGAAATGAACCTGGGCTGTGTAATTTAAGGCAGTGGCATAGTGGGTGGATGGATAGGTGAACTTTATTTGGTCCTTCGGGACGTGTTTTAGCACGTTGCGTGACCTCGCGGGGGTTTGTATGTAGTTCTGTAACCTGAACTTATACTGTACAGTAGAATATTGATAACGCTCGTTAAAAGTTTCTTATGCCAGCATAAACACACAGTTCCTGGGCCAAGTATGTGAAATTTAATTCACCGCATATTCAGGCACACAATGCGGAGAATGCATGTGCGATTATTGAAGGCAGCCAGATATCAAATACTAACGCTGTTCACACTGCCAACATTCATAACTACCTTTACAAATGAATCATGGTCTCGCGGCTCAGGGCGATTCCCCAGGAGACGTCCAACCTGCTTCACTACACGGTCCGCTCTTCTGTGGGCGTGGTAGTGGTGATCACGCCGTGGAACCTGCCGCTGTACCTGCTCACTTTCAAGCTGGCGCCAGCCATGGTGTACGGGAACACGGTGGTGGCCAAGCCGAGCGAGCTGACCTCCGTCACCGCGTGGATGCTCGCCAAGGTGTTTGTGGACGCCGGTGAGGGAACGTACGCTGCGAGGTTATCTTTCCTCGAGACCTACGCGATCTTTAATCAGCCACCGCTTTGAAAAACAACACGCTGATACATCGTAATAGAATGCTACGAAGTCTTCTGTTCAACGAAGTGTTTCCGATTCCATAACGCGAATTTACACATGGTGCCCCGAGCTAACCAGAGTTTTAAAAAAATGCTTACGTATGCAATTTATGACGACGCTACCAAAGGTGGTCACACTATTGTGTGTGTGTGTGTGTGTGTTCTGCTAAATAGGTTGATTAGGCGATATTAGTTAATTTTTATAGCACCGAAGCTTGGCGAAAAATCTTCTTTGGAAAGTTGTAGAATGGTTCGCACACATCCAACCGGACAGCTTCCAATTTCCATGCATATCAAGTATTATAGTTTTTCAGCTTCCCATAGGTGCACACGAATTTTTTTTAATTCGAATGCATTTTTTAGTCGGGCTATGTCTCGCATCCGGCGGCGGTGGCCGCGCACCTGCAGGCGTTCTCTTTCCACTCTCACTCCCTCTCCCATAGCAACAGCTGCGGGTGTGCACGCTTATCCTAGCCCCTAGCAACCGGAGCAGGTGGTACGGGCGGAGTAGCGGAGAGTGAGTGGAGAGGAGGAGCGCGCTCTGGCATGTGAGGGCGCTCGCATCGCCGGAGCTCGGCGGCGCTCTCGCATATGTGGCGAGAATAGAGAGATAGATACGTGGGCTTTGACGTCCCAAAACCACCATATTATTATAAGAGACGCCGTAGTGGAGGGCTCCGGAAATTTCGACCACCTGGGGTTCGTTAACATGCACCCAAATCTGAGCACACGGTTCTACAACATTTCCGCCTCTATCGGAAATGCAGCCGCCGCAGCCGAGTACCTTAGCCACTAAACCACCACGGCGGGGGCGTGTGTGGCGAGAGTGTAGGATAGGGTAGCTGCAGCGCTTCGTTGCTCCTTCTCTCGCCATCACCTTCTCTCCTCTTTGCGCCTCACTCTCCCGTCTGCTCACTTGTACCTATTTATAAATGTAGAGAACAGCGCACCTCAGTCAACAGTTCATTGGCTGATGATTGTGCATAAAATAATTACGGTGCCAGCCTTCGCTGCTCAGCTTCCAACTTTGTCGGTATGAGAGGGTAGAGAGTAATTGCAGCGTGTGGAAAACTCGAACACCACTCGTAGTAAAAATTATTTCTAAAAATGTTTTAAAAGCTATTATAAAATTTTTGCATCGGTCTGTTCGTGAATCAATCAATTCCTTTTTTGAGCCGTGCGATGGTCACTCGTTAAAGTGTTCCAGGGCCCTATTAAAGGACTGCCTCGTCAGTCCAAATTGATCTATAATGCTTTTAAAGACCTTTTAACTCTCTTCTTTTACCTTTAGCTCTCCAACAATCCTGTAGCAATACTTCCAGCGTCCTGGTCCTTGCAGGTCTTCCTGCAGGCGTGGTGAATTTCGTCTTCGGCTACGGACAGATCGTTGGCGATGCCCTTGTGCGCCACCCAAACACTAAGGCCATCTCATTCACTGGCAGCACCAAGACGGGCACCACCATCGCTCAAATGGCAGCACCATACGCTAAGAAGCTCTCACTGGAGGCCAGTACACAGCACGTTTCTCCTTTATAATCTGCACTTATATCTTTTTTGCACAGGTACCCACCAGTGTGGAACTAAGGCATTGGTCAGCGTCAGCCAATCTGCATACACTTTTTTGTCACCATATGGTGCATCGTAGCGCAGGAATCATAAACGCGAGATCGTGAGTCTATTGTCCTCTGCCAGGAAACAGATAAATCAGTAGAGGAGTGGCCAGGGTTATCTCAAGGCAGTAAATGAGCCTCATACTATACGTATTTGCGCTTATATGTACATAAACTGCAATTATATTGAAAGAAGCCACACAACAGTGGCGACCTCACCTCAGCTACGCCTATGGCACTCACTTGTGCCAATAAGATATTTCTCTATGAGAGCAAATATTCCACATGGCATTTGTTCCCATACACGTTGGATAGTGCCATGTGTCACTGCAGCTCCCTTAATTTCTTTCTCCCAGTGGGAAAGAAACCGAGCTTCGAAATAGATGTGAAAATGAAAATAGTGTGCCATGCTTATAAAAACGACCGGCCAACTTTTTAGGAGTACAGTTCCAGAAATACATCATCAGAGGTCCTTGGCTTTCATTACTATAAAAAGCCTGTGTGGCCATAGCCCTGAACATTAAACAATAATGGGATAGGTCCAACGGAGTAAAGGTGGCTGGATGGATGCTATAAGTGTTTCTATTATAATGGACTGGTAACCAATGTGCCACCAAGCAAAAAAAAGAAAAGGCTTCAATTGTTTTAATTCAAGTCTTCCTAATGGCTTTTCAAGTTCAATTTAGTCCATCTCGCTATAGAAAAAAAACAATAATTCACAGCCGAACTATCTGTCTTTATTTGTGCAGTTTATCAGTCTTGAAAATTTTTGGAAAACTTGTGTTACATTGTCATATGTTCAGCTTCCAATGCAGCCTCAAGCAGCATAGATTAGGTTCTGCTATTGTTTCTTATCAATTCAAAAGAGAAAGTGCCATTAAATGAATTAATTGAAGGAGGCCATACAGTGAGATGGCTTACATTCTCTCTCAAAATGTAAAGCGTTCAGCTTATCACTCCCTCATCAGGTTAAAATTAAAATACACATCCTCCATTTGGAACACTCATCAACTATATCTCGTCAATCGATCCGAATCACTTCAAAATCGAGTTACAAAGTTTATTCACTCTAAATACTCATATGATGTCAGCATATAGGCACTCAAAACAGAATCTCATTTATCATTACTCACATATAGTCATTGCACTGCTAGCATTTATATTTTTCACAAGGTTTTTTACAACTCCCTTGGTAAACCACCATACCTTCTCCTCCCCCAACACGCACCACTCACCCGCAAAAAGTTGCTAGCCCAAGTGCCCCCACACTCACCTTCTCGTCTTCATTGTTTTTTCGTACAGCAACAGACTGGAACGGCTTTTTCAACAACATACAGCCATAACCTGTCCTCCCAGATTTCTGACCACATTAACAGATTACTTTGCAATGTATTAAAACATGGCTTTTATTTTTTCATGTATGTGTCCACCCCTTAAGTAATACCCTTTAAGAAATAAGGAATAAAAATCTTTAAGGAATAAAATTGAAATGGAATATTCATCACATGCTTGTTAATTTGCTGCAAACTATATCCTTCATTCTATGCAGATGGGTGGCAAGAATGCGGCCGTCGTGTTTGAGGACGCTGATCTCAAGAAGTGCATCGCCACGCTTATAAAGTGAGCCGACATAACCACATGTTCATTGTGCAAGAACAGAAGTGCCAGCGGTGTGACATCGGTGGTTCAGAAACCTATCAAACAGTGACACTATAAAACAGTCAATCGTTATAACCATCACATACATAGCAGTGCACGGATTGTGCAACAAAGTTAGCCTATTTTCTACACGGAGGCAAGAAGCACATCTGACCTGATGTATTGAAATTGCATGTCGCATTCATGAGATCCAGCGGCTTTGGGTGATTTAGCAGTAACATTTGCCGTAGTGAGATGGTATGGTATCTATAGCTATATATAAGTCCTTGTGCAGTGCCAAAAAAGTGAGAAAGAACAATGCTAGACCAGAGCTCATTTGTTCAACTCATACTCTTCATGCTATCATGTACCTCAGAGTACTGCAGAAGTGTGCTCTTATTTTCATCGCGGCAGCGCAGTAATTCATGCAAGTTCGCGTGCATGTCACACTAGTGTAATAGCCAACAGGATGATTGAGTAGCAATGATTGGCAATGTGAGATAGTAAAGAATTTATTGCTATACATCCTCATGCAGCATGAAAATTGTGAACGCAGATAACGACACAAGTTCCAATAGACACATTCTTGTCCTCCGGTTCTCTGCTCTGCAGGGCCAGTTTTCTGAACCAAGGCGAGGTATGTCTCTGCACGAGCCGCATTTACGTCCACAAGAAAATCTACCAGAAGTTCACCGACATGTTTGTCCAGGAAGCAAGGTAAAAACTACTTGATTACAAACTACTGAGCTAAAGCAAGTTGATACCTGGGAACAAAACTTTGTGGACTGTGTTACTGATTGTGACTCAAAGATAACATAATGCTTCACAACAAAAGGAATATCATTGTAATGTAGCTTTGACAAGCAGTTTAAGGGACAATTAATATGCAAGAACATGCACTGTTCTCTTTACACATTATTCATGTTATTCATGTCTGATTTGCTATGTCATCTAGTAAAGGTGTCCCTCACTTGGCCGACTAATGCAAACGATTACACAATCTGAATCAGTTAAATGACGAATAACTGCCAGTGCAACTCTGATAATATATCACAGTAGAATGACGCACTTTGCTATGCTAAGAATTTTTAATGGACAACCAATGCACCTAATTGTTTCCAAGAAGCCAGCTTTGTAAGTATGCATGCAAGACTTGGGGCCTTAGCCACACTCTAACATAATATACCATTCTGAATTCAATTAAATGTAAAGAATAAGAATGACAACACAGTATGGGTGACGAGACTGCCCTTAGGTTTACACAGCAACACTCAGACATCATCACTGTCACAACTTGTGTGCTAGAGGAGTCTGCAAATAGGACTTTTGGATACTCATGATTCGACTTTCTGTGGTACTTTAGAATGTTTAAGCTTTCAGTCTTGGAAATCTTAGAAAAACCATACCCATCTTTCATTGAAGGAAGCTGAAAGTTGGTCCGCCGCAGAACGAGTCCGTTTTCATGGGTGCGCTGGTCAGCAAGGAGCATCTGGACAAAGTCAAATTCTACATCAAGCTCGCTATGGAGGATGGTGGCAAGGTGCTCTGCGGAGGTCTCAGTGAAGATCCAGAGTTTCCCAAGGAGAATAAGAATGTGAGTGATGATAAGGGCTGTTTTAAAAGAGCCCTGACATCAAATTTACTCGTGTCGAGAATTTCGCGTCGACACACAGTAGCAATTTGCGACCTACAACTCAAGTGAGGGTCAAATAACTATCACTTTTATTGATATATATTACTGCTATCCAGCACAATTCAAAAGGCCAGCAATCCCACCATATATAGCATGGGGAGCACTACCAGTGGTGCTGCCTCGCGGTCACCTGCAGATCGTGCCATACCTGACCACTCCTCCACAGAAAAGAGTGGCGTCAGGCTCAGCTGCTCCGCAAACATTTCGTTTGCTAGGCGTACACATTCATGTAATGCCTTGCCACCTGCATTGTCGTCGTCGCTGTACAGAGTGTCAACAAGTCTTGAATCCAACGATTTGGAGCTTAGAATCGCCGTGATTCGTGACGTCATGAATCGCTTTTGCTTCAGTCGACCCTTTGCAGAACAGCGATTCCAAAATAAACGTGCTTCCAAGCATCAATGAGCAAGTGCCCGAGAATGCGTGGTTCGGTAATGCTTGCTCATGTGTCTCAATCAGCTATATTGGTGTGTTTCGGCGTGCACAGCATTTAGGTATACGCAAAGGGGTCAATGTTGCCAGGTTCATTGTGCCTCCATATGGTCCCTCACGGTTGCGGCAGCAGTAACCCGGTATTACGCGGACACAAAGAAGTGTGCTGACTCACCCTTCATGATACCGATACCTCCACGTTTCTTGTTAGCTACGATATCTGTCTATACCCTACTTCACTTTGATAGCTTATGGTTGTGTTGGCGTTTAACATACGTGTAATGAAAAGTCACCCTCACTGCGCTTTTTTCACGCTTCGAACCAGACGACACAACTCACAACAGTCCCCCGACATGCTGACTTATGAGCACAGGTTAAATTATGTTCTTCCCTTTGGCCGATCTTTTATGGGTGGTTTGCATCTTCAAAATTTCACGAAATCATTCAAAGTGGTGCGATGAAGATCAGACAAGACGAGTGATTGCGTTTCCATGGTTTGGCGCCACGATGAGAACTCTCGGACCGTAGACGTCATCAAAATCGCATGTCGCATTCATGAGATCCAGCGGATTGTCACTCAGAATGGTATGTGTGAAATGTATCACACTGAACACGTAGCACTAGTGTCGATGGCGCAGGGGCACTCTATTTTCTATTAAGATGTCCTACCCTGTCTGTCATTAAAGTAAGATAACTCCCGCGCAATGGATGCAATTAAAATTTGGCCAAGCGGGCCTGCGCACACCGAGCAAACGAATTAAGGGCAGATCTGGATGCTGAAATTTGATGTCAGGGCTACTTTAAAGTCCAAGGATGGCTAAAGAATCGAGCTGAGGCCACTCTTGTGCATTGCTCTATAGGAAGCCTTGCTTCGAGCGAGCGAACACATATGAATGACCCTATCAAATACGCACTCCTCCATCACTGACCATTGCACATTACTTTGCTTATTATTTAATGCTTATGAAAAGATGCTGAAAGAACAGTGCGAGCAGACACTTTCAAAGACGTTGAAAAGGTTGTAGTATTGACACTGAGACATTCGAATGACTAGGGTAACAGGATAGTGCCTTTTTCACTAACTCAGTCAAGTAATGAATTGATTTGACCTATTCTTTCAATAAATGCTCCCTAGAGGGCACAATAAAGCTTCCAGTATTTCTAAAGTGGGCATGAAGAGGTGCTTTTTATTTTCTTACTCGAGCTGTATCTGCAGTAGCTAATAAAGTCTAATGCTGTAAATACAAAATTTTTGTGAGCTTTTTTCGCATCGCACACTTTGCTCCTCCGTTTAGGTGGTTTAAACAAGGAAAACCTGCAAATTTAGAACCTACACTGCCATCAAAGAGACTGACAACGGGCCCAAACATGCTATTTGATCGTGGTATAAATGAAAGGCATAAGATGAGTCACAGATACCTCTATGCATTCCGAGTAGGACTGATATTCTTGTAGTTTGATGCCAAACAGGCAGATAAAAGTGTTCCACACAGGCCGTCATGACTACTGGCGGCGCCGATTGACGCTGCCACGTTTCATGAACAGATATACCACACAAAGTGGACTGCAGTAGAGCCGCTGTAGTAGTTCAGTTGGTAGAGCACCGGATGCGTTATTCGAAGGTCGCAGGTTCCGTCCCTGCCCACCAGCAACCTATCTTTTTGTCCACTTTTCTTTTTTCACATTTACATTACAAATACTTCTAATAACATCCTCAATACCTTCCTTGGCATAATTGTCTGTTAGATCTCGCTAAATCTAGCATGTCACACAGCCTAGCGAAAGAGCCTTGAAGCAGGATTATGAAGTCGGTCACTTTATTGTACATTGTCACGTAGCCCGATGCTGTAATGCATGTCAAAATTAGTCCTCCAAATTGTAGTATGTATATCATTATCCATCCCCACTCAATCCTGTGCTGCTTAAGAAGCAACAAAAAAGTTGCATGGCGAGATGCAACGCTGCCTAGGCAGCCGCCAGTGGATAGTGTAAAGCCGAGATGCACGTGTGCAGAGTGCAGATATACACAAAAAAACCACTGCACTCTCACACAAACAGCTCTTTCGTTCACTGTTTGCAGCACGCATGGTCACACACCTATATATTTGCCAAATATGAAAATTCAAAGAACAAATGCCTTGTGGCCTTTCCCACGTTACCATCCCGTGATTACACACACTGAGCAAATAAGCTTTGCATCGTGCTAAAGATACTAGGCACCATAATAATTGGTTCTCGATCCCTTTAAATGGTCTGTGCACAATCATTTAGCCCTTCTGTCATGGCAAAAGCAAGCCAGTACTCACTGCTTGGATAAGGGTGTTATCAAGTGTGTTAATGCATGCCTGATTTCATTCTGGCACAATTTATGCTCTATAAGAGTCTGTGTGTTGGTTTTGCTGCTAAGATGTTTTCAAACAAGTTAACCAGAATACCTTGGTGACTATATAAGCGTCCCGTCCTCCACACTTCAGCAAACATCTACAAGCATAGCAACGGCTTTTCTAAAATTACTTCAGAAATGTCATGCCTCATAGTTAGGTGTGACCTTCAAGCCTCAACTCCATGGCGTGCAGGAAGAAATGATGAAAAAAACTAATAAACAAAAAAGGGACTGAGTTTTGAATGGATAAAAGCTTGTTCTACTAGTCTGTGGTCAAGGCTGTATGCTACAGAGTCACATTTGTCAATGTCACACTGCAGGGTTATTTCTTGCTGCCCACCGTCATCACTGACCTACCACATGCCTCACGCTGTATCCAAGAGGAGATCTTCGGGCCGGTCACCTGCCTGACCCCATTTGAGAGTGACCTCGAGGTAGTTGAGAAGGTGAATGGTGTGCCATATGGACTTTGCGCCAGCATCTGGTCCAAGGATGTCTCCCGCATACACAAGATTGCTCAGCAACTTGAGGTATCTATAAGCCATCACAGTTCACCAAGCATCGACACATCAGAAACGTTCAGAAGTTTCAGGCTGGTATTATGCTATTCTTGTAGCAAGAGGTTCATTACCCGAATATAGCGTTCATCAGTGTAATGAGAGATTGCAAAATATCAAAATTGTGCCACTATCTGGGCTATTATAGCTCCATACAATTTTGCACATTGCTAAGCTAGCAATGCATATGTACGTATAGTTGCATTGCTTTGTGCAACATACCATATACACTCATGTAGGACTGCACTTTCCACGATGTTGATGGGTCACTGGTCCTTCCATGGAAGTGTGAAATTTTTGCTCAAATTTTTTATCCCTGTATGGAAAACCTATTTAATTGTGCAACATATACCTAATAATGGGATATATGGCTGCCGACATCCTCGCTGGATATCTTCATTGATATATCTGCTTAGGTCCGGCTCGTCCCCACTGCTCAGGTCATCAGCACATTCATGTATTCAATCCGCCTCAGTGTTGCCCATCGCATTAGAAATCCCGGAGACCTTTAACTCTTTACAATAATGTTCACTGGACACCTTTAACATCCAAGATCAGAACAGCTGAAGTGACGCGAGAGGCACCATATGCGAGATGCGATAATGCTGCTGTTTGCTAACCTAGATTTTTTTTCAAAATTTAGGATTGCCAAGTTGGGAGATGCAGCCTTTACACGAGCGCGGCTTTTAATCGAATGAATACGGTAGTTCCTTCTCCTCTGACCTAAGTAGTGCAACGCAACAGAGTTGGACAACAAATCACAATGTCTCTAGTTTTGTAGTACCTTACTCTCAAAATGCAACTGAACCCACAACCCTAATGTCAACCTTGCTGCTCCAAAATGGGGCATTACCAGGAGGTACTATGATTTTCGCTTTAATACACCTGAAAAAAAGTTCACAAATACAGAGACTTGGATGAAACAATAATATATTTACACATCTTGTAAGAGCAGGTTGATGTAAACAGCAACACGATTATTTACACACCCCAAAAGTCTGTGTTAGTTTATCACAGACAGATTAAATCTGATGAAGTATTATGTATGATGTGGTACATTTCTTTATACACTATAAGAGAAGTTGAAATGGCACATACCTGCTCTAAATCAGCCTATAGCTATTTGTTTCACACCATCTTTTTATAGGGTGGACTTTCGGTACTCAACAAACAATATCATTTTGACAGGTTGGCACGATATGGTGCAACTGTTGGATGGTGCGGCACCTGCACATGCCATTTGGAGGGATGAAGATGTCCGGCATTGGACGTGAAGGCACGGATGCTTCCAAGGAGTTCTACACAGAAGTCAGAACAGTCTGTCTGGATTACAGCTGAAGCATGGTGGCTGACTAAAAATGTAGCCCAGCAATAAAAATTCAGGATGGACAAGGCATGATGCATTTATTTTAACAGTGTAAATGAGTTCTGCCATGAGCAAGACTCCCTCAACCTATGTATAATAGCACGCAGTTAACTTCTAGTGTATAAGGCTACAACCAGCATGTTTTTACCAACCAAAAAGCGGGAGGTAGCACGTAAAGTGTCGTTTCAAAGCACTATGGCCGAAAACCCTTGCACAAGGCCACAATCAAGTGATCCTGCAAAAAGATTCCCGATGCATTGAGATAATGCAGAAACCTCTGAGCTCGTTTAGCCTTGAGTTTTCTTCGGTCCTTTTCACACTTGCAGATTACTTGCAGGGCACCCATATAATCAGACACTGCACACTTATTCAATATTACACTCGAAGGAATCCCAGAGTCCATGATCTGCTGGAGACATTTCCTCCAAAACCTGTTTTTCTCTGCAATCTGATAAATGTTGCACAGATTTGGAACAGAGGGAGAAACAACCATGCTTAGCTCCGGGATATTACACACTGCAGCACCACTGAGACTATTCTCAAGCCTGGAAATTGCCAGTTTCACCGAGCCCATCTTTATATAAGCTAAGGCATCAGTCACAGCGGAAGGCACAGGGAGCTCCTTTACATCTACAGATGGCGCCAGGGTTTTGCCACTTTGCCAAGCTTCTACACTGTCGAAAGGTAGCACGCTCACACTACTGTAGGCACATCTGCCAAGGCAACCAGAGAGGCAGTCAACAGTGCTAAAGGCATCAAAGATGTCAGCAAGCTCGCGTAAACACTGTCTAATTAGGGAAGCTTGTGGATGACTTTCGCTCTTGACGCCAACGTCGGGTAACTTTTTGCACTCACGGTCATCACTGCTTCCTTCATCAGAAAGCCAGCTAGAGTCGAGAGCATTGCTGCTCTCCACTGCATTCAGATCATCATCGGAGTCCACTTCTTGTGGCACTTGCAGCATGAAGAGTGGACAGCGGAAGCACGTCAGTCAAGCAGAGGTGAGTTATGTCTAAACCCAGCTCTTCAAACTTGCGCTGAGTGAAAACGCGTGCATCCAATGCTTCCGAGTGAAGTAGCTTGCGCAGATCTTCGACAACTGGTACAGCCTTGGCACGGAAAGCATGCTCGGTACTTTGCCCCAGCATATGCAGTGCAGTATCAAGCTGCAGCTGTAATACACATTTTCTCATGTCACAATGGTAATACTGCAGCAAGAAATTGATGCTATCATTGATCGGCAAACTGAGGTCTTCAGCTTTGAGGATGTGCATAGCCAGCTTAGAAACTTCGTCTGGCTTTGGATGGGCGAACTCTGCTACAGGACATCCGCTGGGAAGCTTCAACCTTATCTGCGTAAGGTTTCTGGTGGCTGTGAAGATCACGGGCTTCTTGGTAATCTTCAGGACAGTATCCACAGCACTCCAAAAGCCATCGTCTTGGTCGAAGATGGTGTCGACATCATCAAATAATATAATTGTATGGCTTGAGAACTTCAATGTAGATGAATCCTGTTCTGGAGGCTTCTTTACAGATGGTGCCTTCTGCAGTGGATATTTTTTGGTTGATTCATCTACCTTTTGTTTCTTAACAGGCACCTTGGCTGGTTCAGGCAAAGAGAGTACTCTTGGAGGTTTTTTTGCTGCAGACACTATGACAATGTCATCATCTTCAGATGAAGTGCTGCACACTCTCTTTACCTTTCGTTTTGTCTTAACAGCCTTTTCTTTTGCAACTTTGGTTTCAGTGGCTTTTCTACCTTTAATTTTTGAAGTCACACTAACAATCTCAACATCGTCATCAGAAGCATCAGACAAACGCAGCTCTTTTAATGAACCTTTGCTACGACTATGCTGTTTTTGTTGCTTGCTCAACTTCTTGGTTTCTTCTGCTGTAGTCAAGTCTGCATCATTTTTTAACGATGGTGTTGAAAAATATCCAAGTAATGTCCCTTTAGGACTACTTTTCGCTGTAGGTTTAGAAGCAATCGATGCACAAGACACATTTGGTGTCTTTTTTGCACTGTTGTTTGCAGAAAAGTAGCTATCTAGAGGACCCTTGCTGGACTTTTTTGCAGGGGTATCAGCGACGATATTCACCCTCTTTTCTTGACCTTTTGCAGCAGCCCTCTCAAACATCTGCTGCAGTGGGCCAGCATTTTTCGCCTTCTTTTCGACCTTCACTTTCTTCGCGCTAGCAGATGTACTTGGATCTGCAACCACCGGGAATGACAGTCTGCTACCTTCCACGTGATGGGACTGCGTAGCTTCGTGCAGGTCAGCCAGGATTTTCTTGCCCGGCCTCTCGCTCGATGCATGCACTTCAAGCACCTTGAAGCCTAGTTCTTCCGCAAGGTAGTAAACAGAGCTAGTTTTTCCGACGCCAGGCGGGCCCGCGAGCAAGTAGCAGTTACTCAGACCCTCCGTCGAATCTTCCGATTCACTGAACGAGTGTCGCGAGTTGGATCGATCCACGTTCGAAGTCTTGTTTTTCCACTGCGAAAGCCAAGAGCGAAGCTCCGCAATCGTAGCATCGTTACCGACGAAGGGACACGATTGAGAAGGCTTGTATTTGTCCGTCCAAGCTTGGCTTCCAAGACGGCCTTCCTTTAGTACGGGCTTGTCCGCTTCACTTTTTTCCGGCTGCTTTTGAAGAAGTCATGGCCAACTTCGAGCCTCGGCGGCGAGCCGGCCTGCGGCCACTGGCTTCACGGGGCACTTCGCCATTCTGGCTGCCCTTTACGTCGGACGAGGTCTCTCTCGGCTTTCTTGGCCGCAGCGATCTGAAGCGATCGCCTCCGTTATCTGCGAAGAACACGCAGGACAGAAGCGAAATGAAACAATGCAGTACGTACGTGATTACTTCGATACAGAGTGGGAAAAACGGAACGCGCAAAGACACAAGAAATGCGAGTTGGGCTTCAGGCATACCTTGCGTAGTCAGCATGGTGGCTTCTCAGTTTTGTTTCCGTGGACGAATCGTACACCGTTTGATACCAGGGAACCACGCACAAGCAAGGCCGCTGTTGGAAATGCTAGATTTTCGGTTCAATTCTTGTCGCGTCTTGTTGCTACACTTTCCCGCCACGACTCCGGCAGCCGGTCCCGCCATGTATCCCGCGCATAAACAAGCAGCAGGAAGCTCTTCGGATACGGATGTGACTTGGATAGGAAGCAATACGTGAGCCGCTCGACAACATGCAAGCTCTAGCCAAGACAAGTCGGTCTGTCGTGTCTGATTCTGGTTTCGTACATTCTGTGATCCTTTCAGTTCTGTGGTTCCGTCACAGAACTCCTATATTGGTTTTGTGCTGTCGTGATTGAAAGTAGTTGTGACCAGTGCATGGACATATGTGACAGAGTTATCGAACTGAATATACGAACAGCGCAACAGATAAGGACAGAGGAAAGTAACAACACACAGCGCTTTCAACATTGATTGTTGAGCAAGTCGGCGCTGTTGTTGCCTTCCTCTGTCTCTGTCTGTTGCGCTGTTCGTATATTCAATTATGTACTACCAACTTGTCATGCTTTAGAGCTACCGAAAACATTCGTAGTCCGATAGATCACCATCTGAGGCTTCGCAAGGGGTGACAACGCTGACCCAACGCGTCAAGATCACCGCAGAACCTCCGCATCGCAATTAAATTTCAAAGCATCGGATTCGTCAACAAGCACAATTTAAGCTTTGTGGTTGTGATACACTAATGATGCAGTACCAAGAGAAGAAAAAATGCAAGTTTTTGAGAACTGACGCGTGTAGATTTTTTTTTTTTTTTACAAGCAATTGAACAACTCATTCGAACACGGGCTATCTCCTGCTTGATTGATATGTGGGGTTTATCGTTTCAAAACCACCATATGATTGAGAGACGCCGTAGTGGAGGGCTTCGGAAATTTCGACCACCTGGGGTTCTTTAACGTGCACCCAAATATGAGCACACGGGCCTACAACACTTCCACCTCCATCTGAAATGCAACCGCCGCAGCCGGGATTCGATCCCGCGACCTGCGGGCCGGCTATCTCCTGCTATTTCTCCTACATTTGAGACAGATGTATCCCTGATACAGAACGATTTCCGGGAGGTCAACAGAGCTTGCTTTGCTACAGCAAAATGAATGCACTCTACAAAGAGAAACAATACATCGTGTCAATGGAATTTTAGTGCAGATTCCAAACTCTGCAGTTTCGAAACAAACCGTTTTTTTTTTTTTTTTTAATCTGTGACTTCTGGCTATTAAGGCTACTATGATACAGTCCTGAGGCAAGGTTTCTTACTCCACTTCAGCGATTATAAACATCTTTAGTAAACAACTCAAACTGCAATAGATGTTTGCGTGAGCATCAAACGAGTATTTTTTACATTGGTTTGAAATGTCGGCACCTTTTCACTCAAACGTCACCCATCAGAACCGCTTTTATTGGGATGTGTTTATAGGAAAGGAGGTACTACCCCCATATCCTCTCCTTTAAAAAGTACAACATGGTCCGTTTTGCAGGATGATGATTTTATTTGCTCCATGTTACAGTACATCAGATGACTTAATCTATAACTGTGTCAAACAACAAGTACATAAATATGGCTGCACAAAGCAGGTCTCAAAAATTGATGCTGTCTGATAATGTGCTACCCAACTATCATCACAGACAGTTGAAGGAATGTCTGCAAAATATTTTGCATTGACAGTGAGCAAGTGCTCTACAGCGGGGAAGCTGCTACAACTGCGTGGACTGCAATCGAGCTGCGAGTGGCTAAGTGGAAGCCCATAAGATTGTGTCCTAGGCTAAGGAAATGTGGCCAAGTGACAAGTACAAAACACTTGGAGCAGAACAAACAGTGAGCACAAAGAATGCTGAACACGTCCTTGTGTAACACAGTAGCACCCTGTCACAGCAAACCTGTACATGTCCCTAATCACTGTTAGGCAGACAAAAGAAAACAATATGAGATAGAAAAAAAGTTTCTTCATACTCTGATGCTTAAAGGCCAACCTGCCATATATATAAGTGACGGACATGCAAAAATATTCATTTCTTCCAACATTTCGGCCCGGGTCTGGCCTTCATCTGGGAATAAAATTGGCACTCTCCGACGAAGGCCGGACTCATGCTAAAACGTCAAAAGTAATATAAATTCTCACACATTCATCAGTCATTCTTCAACATTTACAAAGCACTGGATCCGCAAAAAACATGTATATTGTTACGTGGTGTATGTGCTGGACCAGGAAGATGAAGAAGAAGCAAAGAGTGTGAAAGAACACCATCTCTAAGCAGCTTAGTCCTGTACGGGCTTGCCATCCACGACTTCTGCCAATAAACCTGCGCAGTTCTTTTCCGCACATGCTGCAGCTGCATCATTGCATCTTCAGAGTTAATCTTGTTTCTGGAAATCGCTTCGACCACGACCAGCTAGGCTTTAAAATGGCTACTACCGTTACAGGAGAGAGTGCCAACGAACTGGTGGTGAACATGAAGGATGTCACTGCACTGAAGAAGGCCCTGGAGCAGGCCACTCATGTGGCAAATACAACAACTGTGGAAACGATAAAGGATGAAATGAAGAATTTGGTAGCTTTCTATCTAAACTATGTAACAAAGCCTGTGAAGTTGGCAATAGAATTTGCGCCGATGTTAGAGGATGGGGCAAAGAAGCTTGGCAAACAACTGCACGACTTTGTGAGACTGAATAAGTCCAAGGCGGGCTCCAGGTGCCTCGTACGATTGGCTCTACCACTCTTGCCAAAAAATAGTGCCAACCTTCGAAAGGGAAACCAGAGGCGCAAGAAAGGCTTCTCTTGTTTGGAAATATTTGCTTCTACGTTATACCCCACAAGGTTACACTCTAAAAGCTACACAAATTGTTTTATAATCTAATTGTGGTGCCGTAAATACTATTTGTCATGAAAAATGAAGCTGAAGAGCACACCACACGTGTGTGTGTGTGTGTGTGTGTGTGTGTGTGTGTGTGTGTGTGTGTGTGTGTGTGTGTGTGTGTGTGTGTGTGTGTGTGTGTGTGTGTGTGTGTGTGTGTGTGTGTGTGTGTGTGTGTGTGTGTGTGTGTGTGTGTGTGTGTGTGTGTGTGCGCGTGTGTGTGCGCGTGCGTGCGTGCGTGTGTGTGCGTGTGTGTGTGTGTGTGTGTGTGTGTGTGTGTGTGTGTGTGTGTGTGTGTGTGTGCACGTTCTCTACAGTAGGATTTGCACTCCCCTTCAACTGCCCACCACTCTGATTGACCCCTTTGAAATACACGTCTGAGAGACAAATAACTGTGCATGCGCAACATAAGCAAGCCATACCTCCTGCCATCTGGTTTTGTAAAAAGTAGTCTAGACAAGCAGCCTTGTGGTTACAAAGATCATCGACTTCAGTATTGGCCATAGTACACAAGCACCCTTGTCTCCGTTTTTTATGTGCATCATAGAAACCAGAAATGTGGAAGTGTGTCAGAAATTGGAACACTAAAGACTTATTGTTAAACTTTGTATCTCGCTCCCTCCTGTTAACCAACAGTATTTGTCAATCCATATAAACGCCAACATCAATATCTGAAATATATAAGCAAGCACCTATTTTCCACTTCGGACCTCAATCACAGCACTGCAACGACTAGTCAGGTACCAGGACCTGTGACTCTGTGGTCAACAAAAGAGCACCATAGAACTGAGCATGGCAAATATCAAGTTTAGGAACATGAAAATTCACTGTGACAGGGTTCTGTTGTACTGTCCTTATTAGAGTGCAGAAAATCACATGCACACATCAAGAGACTAGAGGTAAGAGAAAGAGTGTCCAGCTAAGTCCTATGACCAGAAGATGAAGTATGCAAAAGCACTTAGTCGTACATCTTTGGCAAGTAAGCTAGGAAAAAGACTAATTTGACACGAAACTACAAATATTTTCGGGTTTTCTAGCATCACCTAAGGCAAAGTACATTAAGCCTACGTGAAGCCTAGCTATGATGTTTAAATTCAAACTATGTCACACAACACCTACCTGAGCTTGCCCATAACAAAAATGGTGCATGAAATGCCGTGCGGCTACTTATCAAACAATGCAAGAAGTCTTTGTGACACATCACAACCAATGTACAAACACTCAAAAAATAAAATAATGAGGATATGGGACACATATTTCCACAACTGTGGAAAGCTCAATTACTAACTTTCTTAATATGGTGATGCCCCCCACATGTCCACAGACCTCTGTAATCCAAGCACCTTGAATTATCTTCTGGCTCATGCATGCTTAATGCCAATTAACAAGTTGATCAGGATATCAAAGGCACAAAGTGACAAAACCAAGTAATGTTCTTAGACTCATTGCCTCAGTGCTACTCTGTTGAAGCCCTGTTTTCAGTACGAGAGTTGCTCTTGGCTCTGCAAAACTTGTTCGCACTAGCACTGCTGAGCCACAGTCACAAGCACGCACAGCTGTACAGCGCTCTTTCTTGACATACGAGCAGAAATTCAACAATGGTTCATGCTAACAAGGATGACATTTCGGGAAATGTCTGAGGTGAAAGCCCATTGGCAGTTGGTCACACACTCTACAAACTGTATTCAACAACACCCAATCAAACGGGGCATTTGTAGCATGAACGGTGACGTGAATCACCAACAACCACACTCAAATGAATGTGCACTAAAATAATCATCAG